TTTCGCAACTGGTCATTTAAAATAATTGCTCTTTCTGCAATGTATAAAAGGCTCAACGGGAGGAGACTTCCTCTCCTCACCAGTTCTCACTTTCTCCCCTTTTACCACACTACTTTCACTATCCAAGTCAAACACATCACCACTACCAATCACTCAACTTCTACCTAAACCCTTGAACAAGACTATCAAGCCATACTTTGTAGATTCTATCAACTGTAGTCCAAGCTTCAGCACCGAAGCCACGCTCACTCAATACGAGCTCTTACACTTTTGTTCTCATCTCATCACCATAAAGATCTTCTCATCTCCCCAACACATAGCCAATCACATCTTCATTGTCAAGAAACCTCTCAGATACAAGTGCCAAGTAGAACCATCTCATAGATTCAGATTCATTAGGAGTAACAAAGGGATGTGCATAGAAGCTGTGTAAGAGGAGTGTAACAGGCAGGGACAGAGTCAGGACTGTGTATAAGGGAGGTGCCTATTGGACAAGTCAACAACTAGTCAAAGACTAGTTGTGGTTGACAGGTTGGTGTCGGTCGTTGTTGTGGTCAATGGTTGGAGGAGTGTTGGGACCCCAAGGGTATATATATGGAGCTGCTGAACAGTAGAGATAGTTTCCCATGTCATTCATTCTTACCTCTTCATACTCCTCCTCTCATCTCGTACTCTCTCACTCAACCAACCCAAAGGCAACTCTACAGGCAACAAACCAAACCAAGACAAATACAGTGGCTCAGGCTATCTGTGCTCCCAACTCCTCTAGTTGAGGAGCCGATGTCTCTCCACAAGGAGCCAGGGATAGCACTTGAGTGGCAAGAGATCAGGAAGCAAAGAGGGCAGCACAAATATATAAGCAGGTAGTTTTCTGAATAATTGAGAGTCTCAGCAACCTCAGATTGTGTCTCTTGTCTGCATTGATTCAAGCACAGAGCATCAGGTCACAGCCCAGGACACTATACTAAGATCACATCTTATCACAGGGCTGGTCACTGACTGTCGGGTTGAGCTGGTGATTTGTCCAAAGGAAAGGACGATGCCGAGTTGTCACCCAGTAAAAGGATAACGAGATATCTGGACTTGATTGTGTGACCCTTCAATGTAAGATTGTTACAAGGAAAGTTGTTTATCCATAACTGGAAGACCTACTATGGACGGTCTCTCCCTATATATACCCAAATCTGCAAACTCTACAGATGAATCAACATGATGCTCCACTTGTTTCACTACTAGAAAGGATCCTGATGACTCGATACTAAACTACACTGCTTTACACATATCCTTTCTTCATTTGAACAGAGCTTTCTCCTGATACACTACTCAAACTCGAGCTTGCAGACAGGGGTATGCAATCTTCTCACAATCATCACAGCATTGCACAGCATTGCACACTAGTGCACAGGATTGATGCGAACCTTTGTGGTTCATGACACATCTTAAGGTAAGCCAAGGCTTGATTTAGTTGCAAGCATCTATCATAGTAGTATGTTTCAAATATCAAAAAATCACCGCAGGTGATTTTTCATCTTGGACGATTACCAGCCAAAAACGCCTGACGGAAGCAAATAATCGTCCGAGATGAAAAATCACCCGCGGTGATTTTTTGATATTTGAAACATACTAGTATGACACCAAGCTACATATCCCTCTAAGTCTCAAAAGGGTTCCTACACTGCTGGACAGTCATAAGGCACTGTGGGGCCCAAGCGAGATTGTTTTGATCTTCTATTGTGATATCCAGAAACAATCTTGATCCAGGATGGATCAACAAAATCTTGAGTTGGGATAGAATTGATCTACCCTGTTTGATCTCAGTTTCGGATTATTTTGAACTTGGTTCAGGATTGTTATTTCAATCTCAATTCTGGATCAAGTGTTGCATATGCCATAATCTTGACCTAGGCTCAATTCTACTCTCCTTACGGCTACAGTACAAAGATTCCTCTGATACAGCTGAACACACACAAGAACACTATTATATTGTGAAGCTTTACCCTTTAGAAACAAGTTGGAGCCTGTATAGCATGATTAGTGAACAAGTATCTTCCTTCCACATATCTAACAACTCACATTCAGTCATTCCATGCACTGAAAAGGGGCCTAATTGGCGGAAGAGAAGCAGGAACAGAAGGGAAAGGAAGCTCACTATCATTGAATTGCTTGGTGCGCGGGCCTGGACGGAAGGTGTCATAAGGAAGAGCTTGTGGGGCAACATTGAGTGATAAGCACACGTCCTGGGAAAAGCAGCAAAAGGTGTGGCGAGTATACTGGTGGTGATGAGATGAGAAGGCAATGAAGAAGAGATGGATGAGAGTCCGAGCGTAGAGATAGATCAATTCATTGATGCAGAGCAACCAAAGGCAGCATACTCAACTGCTTTCCAAGTTCCACCGAACACACCCCACCTGATGAGTGGGGAGGAGCATCTCGCTGGATGAAGGGGTAGTCTGGCAAGATACAAGTCAGTAAGGATGGGAACGTTGGGAGAATGTTGGGAACGACAGTGCACAGACCTCTGCCAGGTGGCAAATGCGGGTAGTGTTGATGTTGGCGTTGCTTCAGAATGCATGATGGGATGCAGCACTGGGAGACGGAGTGACTGAGATGAGGACGGGCGGGAGGTGGTTGAGTAGCTGAAGGAGAGAAGGGGTGTGGTGAAAAGTGGGAGGGGAGAGATTGTAGAAAGGAGAAAGAGAAAGAGAGATGACAATCACACAACAAAAAGGACGCAACTTACTTCTGCGGTGGCCCAAGCATGCAGTGTTTGGACTTAATTATTTGAGATGTCGCCAAAGCCCATAACAAAACTATGGCGGCTATGGCTGTCTCTATGGCAATGATCACAGATTTGTCAAAACAATCCCAGACTGGGATCATTCAGTGACAGGCAGATCAAAATGATCTTGAACTAGGATCACCAGCCGGGCACCCAAATCTTGCCTCAATCAATAGCATCCCAGTCCAAAATAGAAATAATCGAGCTAGATAGATGATCTTTGGCTGGATGAATACAACCCTGCATTGAGATGAAAGTAATCAAGAAAGATCAAAACAATCTTGCTTAGGCCCCACAGTGAGGTGGATATAGACCTGACAGAAAGTTGATCAGAGGATAGGATTTCAGGACAATATCCTGCCCCAAGCCTGAGGGGGTAGGTTTTTCTACTGGCCCCAGCACTAACACAGCTAAAGTTGGTAACTGTAAGGGTCAGGCTGCTTCCAGAAGTTGCAAAGAGTGATCACCCCTATACTTATACTTTTACATACTCTCTTTCTATGAACTTGCCTGTCTTCTACAAACAAGCGTGACACTTTATTTCCCTAACTTTCCCGCGGTTTTCCCCAACTTTTTCAGACCGTTTGGCGGTTTTCACTAACTTTACAACCGCATCACGGCGTGCTCTGAAAACTCACAGGGTGGTAGCTACATGCGATAGGATGCTATTTTCCAAATTTGTTATGCGTATGTACCTCAGGAGGTGAGATATGGCTTGCCAAAGGTTACCATACCTTCCATTTTGGACCACCATTTGGTGTGTGGAGTTTAGTCAACTAATTTCTACGCTATCCCCCCCTTATTTCGTGTATACATGCTACATAGCCCTCCCAACCACATGTACTTTTTTGGAGCGATCCGAGGTGCGACGCTCCAGTTATAGCACTTGGCGAATCCTACCATCATTGAACCGCAACTTGTCGGCGACAGAGTTGGCGGTTTTCCCCAACTTTACAACCGCACGATGGTATGCTCTGATATTCGGCCTGGTGGTAGATACGTGTGATAGAATGTTACATTTCAAGTATGGCATGCGTATGTACCTCAGGAGGTGAGATATGGCTTGCCAAAGGTCACCATACCTTCCATTTTGGACCACCATTTGGTGTGTAATGTTTAGTTGCCTAAACGCAATGCTATCCCCTCTGTATTTTGGGTGTGCATGCTACAACACCCTCCTAGCCATCATGTACTTTTTGGAAACGATCAGAGATGCGGCGCTCGAGTTACAACACTTGGCGAATCCTACCATCAAAGCGCAACTCGTCGGCGTTGGCTGAGAAAGCGGAGACCTCCGCCATCTAGTCATCTAACTACCGTGTTCATTTAATCGGCCTTTCCATTGTCCATGCATACATTATATCAAATCTCTACTGTAGATACTTTAGATATGCATGCATGGATCCACTTCCTAGCATTTCTCCAGCAAAGTGGAGAAATGTCAGCCCGAACCTAGCTCTGTAACAATACGCGCATTGTTGCTACGCGCGCCAGATAATTCCCATTTGTTTGATCGACCTTTCCGTCTGCCATGCATCCATTCTATCAAATCTCTACCGTAGATGCTTTAGATATATATGCATGGATCCACTTCCTAGCATTTCTCCAGCAAAGTGGAGAAATGTCAGCCCAAAAGTACGTCATACATCATTCGCGTACTATCCAGCCACTCTTTTCATTTCATGGACTTTTCCGTTGTCTATACAATATTTCCATCAAATGTTCTCATACCATGTTCGAGAAATAGCTACATGGAATCATGATAGCTCTCCGCCTCCAACATCTCACCCAACATTCCTCTCTACTGACTGTCTATAGTCCTCGCCAACCTCAGCCCACTGATCCCTATTCCGCAAGCGGCCGTTCGCAATCTCGTAACGCATGAGGCTCCGAAAGAACTCCATGTGTGCAGCCTCGAACTCAAAACCCTTTGCCACTAGATCGCGACCGCGCATCACCATCTCGATCGTTTGGGTCATGAATATGCCACAGTCTGGACCTTTTTGACGAGGGGAGTCCTGTGGTCAATCGTTATTATCTCACTTGCCACATGATCGGCATTATGCTGCCTTGCTGCCTAGCTCACCTCGTTGGGCAAGAAAGTCCATGACTTGATGTCCATATCCAAAGCCAAATGATCGGCATGGTCCAAAGCCAAATGATCGGCATGGTGGGACAACAGGAGCGTACAGTCTTTCAAGATTGATTAGCGCAAATATACTCAAAGGAAAGGAACCACTGCTGAAACAGCACCTGGCACATCGTCACCTACCGCTTCTGAGTACTCTATCCTCTTCTGTCGAGTGTACTCTGGATCTGTTGATCCATGGAACGAGTCAAAGTACTCAATCCTCCGCTGTGTCATGTTCACAATCACAGCATGCCAATGGTGTGGCGTGTAAATGGGAATGGAAACGGTGAAGTAATTGAACAGATTGATTTTCTCCTGTCAAGAACAAATCAGTATGTGGGCGTGCTATCGCATCAAGAAGCGACAATGAACTGTAGAACTCACTGTCTCACTTCCCAGTTTCTCACATTCGGCAATTTGGCTGTACGGGTCGTCACGCGTCAAGAACGACGAGGTCAAGGTCGTCAGAGCCCAATGCGGTTGACCTGCAAGACGTGCTCGCTCTCGAAGGAGCTTGACGTAGAGGTCGTAGACTTCGCACATCATGTACGCACCCGGACGAAGAGTGTCAAGCACACGACGTCGGTGCAGGTTTTGTTTATTGATGATCCTTGACGCCTACGATGGAACACTGATATCAGCAATGACCAAGATCCATATCATGACACCTACCTGTGCCTTGTCCCCAGCAGCCAGGCTCAGAGGTACCCTGGGATTCACAATGCCTGTACCTTGTTGGTGGTGCTGACCTTTGGACGCAGACTTGGGGGCTCGTCGCCGAGGGTTGAGGGGTTGATGCTTGGCAGGCCTACCGGTAGACAAGGGTGCACAAGCTTGAGAGGACCCGTTTTTCGGGAATGAGGAGGAAGGTGGAGGATTGGTCAGAACAACAACGGGATCGTCGCTATCCGACACAGCAGCATCTTCAGCAGAAGAAGGCTTATTAGTGGTGGATGGATGGGGCAATGCTGGTGGCTGTGGTGGGATAGCTGGTATCTTTGCTTTGGGAAGGGTTGTGGTGGTAGTAGCTTCAACGACAGACAGACAGGATGATGGTGGTATACCACCAGAAGTAGTTGATTCTAGAACTGATGTCTGTGGCTGTGTTGGTTGAGGCGTCATGCCTTTGGGAGCTGTTTGACAGCCAATCGGATGCGTATCGTCGAGATCATCGCTATCGGACTCGTCGTCGTCAAAGGAATCGAAGACATCGTTAACCCTGTATTCCTCCAGCCAGCCATCATCCCCTTTCGCGCCCTCGTCATCCTGGACATTTTGCAGACCATCAACAACCGTCTGCATTTGCTGGAGTTTCCGCTCGATGTCTGTCATGTTGCCATTGTGCTTGAAGATAAAAGCAGCCCATAAATGGGAACAGAACTTCGATGTCATCGTCCACATGGTACAAGTGCAGATAGGTCTTTTGGCCCCATTCGCGCACCAGTATGACTTACCAGCCTACCCGCGGTAGCTGTTTCCTGGTCGGGGATTAGAATCTCCCAGACCTCGTCCGAATCTGCGAAGTCCTTGACAAGCGTGCGGCTCTTCAATACAGAGTTGTCGATATCCATTGCTGAAGCGTTTTGGACATATCCAGATTCCCAATAGTGGTAGGCCTTCTGGTATATCTGTTTGTCCGATTTTGGGAGCCTTTTCTGGGACACTGAGCTGTTCCTGTACCGGGGAAACCAGTAAAAGAGAATCAAGAACAACAGGTGATCGTTTCTGGATAGATACCATAGTTAGAAGATGGAGTGGTGTGTTGAATTGAAAAAGCTCACCTGCGGTTTATGGTTCCACGAAGAATCACCCGATCGAATGTTCTAAATGCTCCCTCACAGTGGTTATTTGTAGATAGCAACCCGGTACGGGTAAGCCCATCAGACATGCCCCAGTCCATCACAAAATCCTGCCAGCGGCTAGAAAGCCATGTGGCATCAAGGTAGTCAACGACTTTTTTCACAAAGCCACCATGTGAACCCGAGATTGCATTGAGCTGCGTTGAGAAGAGTTCCTTTGATGGACCAAAGTCCGAGCTCCTATTGCATCTCTGCAAGAGACGAAAGGACTCCAGGACCCTGTTGACGACCTCTTCTTTGGCTTCTCCCTTCTTCCAAGTGACAAACGAGCGGACCTTGGCTCGTAAAGCCTGCATGACATGGAATTGACACGCACGGATGATCATGTCGGGCCATACTTCCAGGATCGCCTTACTTTCCGCAGTGCAGCCGTCAATGACCATGAAGGCTGGCTTGAACCTCCCCTGATCAACCACCATTCTACAGGCTTGTAGAAGCTCGTGATGGTCAATTCCGGGGAAGCTCGTTTGATGACCAGGTTCGGTCTCGACTATCTTCTTTGCAAAGCGGAAGATAGCCTTACTCACGTCTTCAAGTAGGCGCCGGTAAGTGCCAGATGTGCCATCAATGGAAATAGTGACGGAAACTATGATCACCCCATTAGTACTACTCAAAGAACCACAGTCGTGCTTGTGTGGTTGGTTGACTCACTTGGTAACATACGACTATGCTCGTTGGCGGTAACCAATATGGTAATTGGACATCCGAGCACTGTTTTATGTCTCCAAGAAGAGTCCATACCTATACCGTTCCCACGAGCTAAACTGTATATAATTGCCGTGGCAAGCGCATGTTCGGAAGCGATGGTAGCCTCAAAGAGTTCGCTGGGCGAGACTCGATGTGCAGGATTGCGGTTCAGCAAATCGGGAACTCGGAAGCTTGTTGATGGTATCAGTTAAGCGTCTTGTATTTTGTATGTGGTTTTCACCCACCTCACAAACTCGTCAGGATGTGATTCCTGTAGTAGCAGCGCCGCGACGACAGGATGCCGATGCATCCTTGAACGCCTCCTTGCAGTTTCTATGGTTGTCTTGATCGAAGATGGCTTTGGGTAACGCCAAAGATAGAGGACTTTTACCATGCGAACCCAGGACACATTTCGCTCTCGAGCCTCACCATTATCATCGTAAATTGTGCAAGGACCCGGCGCCATCTCTAGACTTTTGAAGTCTTACGGTATGTTTATAAGAAACTGGCTGAATCAGGGTTCTAAGAGCACATACCTGTTTCAATGGCAGAAGGGGTAACACCCAGTTTCTCAGCTTGCAAGAACAACCACCGCCTTAGCACCCTGGAGCCTTTGAGGTGGTAGCGGAGAGACTCGGGGGGAGGTTTATGCTCGCTGATTGGCATATGGGTGATTGTACACTCTCCCATGCATGCCTGCTTCACAGTCATCTCGACCTATGGTGTTGATTAGCATCCAGTCCTTGCCGATCCAGCGACCACGTTACCTTGATCTTTGCACCGACGCTACACTTGACATGCCCTTCTTCTTCAACTTCATCGTCGAAGTCTTCCGCATCATCAATGTCATCTTCAACTTCGCTTCGTTTGACGTCCGGGGATGGTTTCCCACAGACGCAACTTCCCGAACAAGCAAAAACAACTCGGAGAACTGGGGTATCCTCAATGACTCTCTTCCCCCTAGGCTTGATGGAATCGTCGCACACCACAGAAAAAGGGCGGGCTCGGATATCAGTAGGAAAGAGTCCAATGTGGACTTCCTCCCACTTGATTTCGGCGTGAAGATGTTGAACGAAGTCTGTCTGGTGGTAGTCATGAGGCTAATTGTTCAAAAGTAAGTCCTTGGCCATCTGTAAACCACTGAATTATCTGACTCATAGAACTGACCTCTTGCTCAAACCACTGACGAAGTTCGGTAATCTTGATATTGCTGGTGATGTACATCTCCTTTTGAGAATCACCGTGACGCCCGGATGGTCTAATCTTGGATAAAGTCATCTTGTTTAAACCAGCTTCTGGACGGCGCACTGTCAATCTAAGATTCTCGTGCTTGTGTTTCTCTTTGGAAGATACTGCGGTGGCCGTGCTGAAATTCTTCTGATGTCGAGGAATCACAAGGTCTAGTTTGTCTTCGAATGAAGAAGAAGGTAGCACCCCTTGCTGGAACTGGGAAACTTGGATGTCCTTCTGGGACATGACTCCTGTAGAAGCAAGCCTCTTTTTGTTGGTGAGGTAAAGAGGATCTTGTCAAGCCATTATGTGATGATAATAGCACATGCGTGTGCTGCGTTTGAGTGGTAGTGATGGGCCTTGGAGCATTGCTGCCAGGGAGCAAAGCTCTATGACTGCCAAAAAGAGTATGTGGACTCTTCAGGGGTGAGGGGGATCGCGAATTGTAGCGATAGGGGGACGAAGGCAATGACAGCAACTGACGCTTACTCTTCTTCGTCGTCGTTGGGGGTACGGTGTTCTTCACTACGACTTGATCAGTTTGATTGCCTGCATTATCGTGCTGGTCAAATTGCAGTACACACCCGACACCATGTCTTCTGCCGAACCTTTTTGTATCTTGCTTGGTGGCATATCATCGCTATTGCTGCAGTCCCCCTGAGACTCAGAGGAAGAAGAGCGACGACGAAGTCGAACTCGTGGAGGGGCGCCTTTCGTCTGCCCTGATAGAGCTTGACTAAAATGACCGGGTGGTATGCTGGGCGCGTTCAGAGGAGCAGGCATTGTACCGTTCTGGAGCAATGTTGGTTTCGCTGAAAGGTGCATATGCTCCGGCTGTCAAATGCCAAACACGCTCACCCCCAGTGAAGAAAGTGGACTCCACTCTGATATATAATTGCCCTGATCTACTGGCTATACACTGCCTTCACCTGAAGCGCCCACCGCGTTATATCGACGTCACAAGTTTAACCTTTTCTAACAGCTGTTAGTCTAGGAATCTTTGGCGTTCGGGATAGCCCAACAGGGTTCGAGGGTCAACAAGCCCATAGCTGTACAAAAGAGAAATACACATACATCAAACATAACATATTCTCCAAAGTACACCATCAACATGTCTGATAACGTAGGTGGACCTCCTGCTGTTCTTCTGGCCGTCAAGGGCAACAAAAACTCATGAACTCACAGCTTCAATCAGAATCGATCTCGGTTATAGATGCCAGTCGCAATGACTGGTTGAAGAGTCTGAAAGACACCGATGATGTGTGGGCGTCAGAGGAATCTTTGAACAAATACAGCAAGAAGATATCGTTGGGAATCCAGCCTTTGGACCATTGTGCCTCTCACTTGTTTCCCAATTGTGCGTCGACATGGGGACTTATTTCCCAATCGTGCGTCGACATGGGGACTTACACGTAAAATTCCCATGCACACTCACCGAAAGGGATTGTACAACCCGAATCACTCTGAGCTGCTGCCTCCGTGTTGCTACATGGACGGCGGTCAGAAGACATGCATCAAATGCATAGAGGAGCACAAAGTCTTACCCGCGTTTCTGTACACGTAAGTCAATTGCTTATAATCAATCAAGGCCACAAGCTAAAGCCATTATTATAGCCATCCAGAGGTTCATTGTGGAGGCTCAATGCTAAGCAATCGGTCCAAAAAGAAGGGCCAAGCAAAGAAGGGCCAAGCAAAAACTACGACGGCGACGACTTACCTTTGGAACTGGACAGAAGGTACAGATGTAAGCTCCTTCGGTACAGCAATCCCACATATCATCTTGGGCAAGTGCTGGGGTTGCCACATCTTGGATTTGGAGTGCCACGTAAAAGGGACGAGGTTGGAGCAGGACGAGGACTACTTCATGAGTAGCCATGCTCCTCTGATAACCCACAGCGGCACCAACGATTTGGGAACTTCCTCCAGTAGCCTCTCCTCGTTGACCGCTTCTTCGACCCCTGCACTCCAAACCAATGCTGGCGTGGTGCCATCAACACTTAGCCCTCCCACTACTTTTCTTGCTGCTCCCGACCCCACTATCACCACCATTCCTACCGCGCCACCTAGCCCTCCCACTACTTTTCCTGCTGCTCCCGACCCCACTATCACCCCTCTTCCCACCGCGCCACAGGTGCTAATAGCACCTAGCCCTCCCACTACTTTTCCTGCTGCTCCCGACCCCACTATTATCGCCCTTCCTACCGCGCCACTTGTCCCCCCCTCCAGTGCTATAGCCACAGGACGTCAGGAGACAAAGACCAACCTACCACGACGAGAGGAGACACCCTTTGCGGACACAATGACCGCTCTTTCACCGTCACCCATGGGTAGTCAGAGGTCCCTGGTGTTTTCGCACGCAGGCTCCGGGTATGAATGGGATGACATATCTGTTGAAGGGGGTGATGACGCCTCCGCGGGTCTCACATCTGCCGAAGGAGGGGATAGAGAAGGGAAGGCAGACAGGGAGCAGGTCTCATGTCCTGCGCAACCAATCTCGTCTGTCAACAACGACGATCTGCCCGACGCTCTGCCCTATTTGGTTCAGATACAGTCTCTTGTTGGGAAGGTTCTCGATTTCGAGCGGAAGAGAGATGATCGCGATAGCTTGGCAAGGAAGCAGATGAAGGAGCAATATGAGGAGGAAAAGAAGGAGCTGAAGGTGCTTGCGGAGCTGGCGGAGCAAAAGCGTCGAGGAGCAGAGACACTACGCGAGGCGCACTGGAGGCAAAACCGGGAGCTGAAGCAGGAGATTGAGGATGAAAGAAGGAAGGCGGTGTTTGCGCTCGAAAAGCAGAAGGATGCCGAGGTGAGGTTGAGCTCAGCGAGGGAGGAAGTTCAGCGAATGGAGCAGGAAGTGGCACAGCTGAGGCTGAGCATCTCTAGTCTGACAAGTGACAGAGACGTGCTGGTAGAGGAGGCGAGGAAGTTGAAGGAGGAGGGGGAAAATGGGCTGAGTCTGGCTCATAGACAAATGGAGGAAGAGAGGATAAAGGCGCAGGAAAAGGAGAAGCATTTTGCGAAGATGAAGCGAGTGATTAGGGAAAGGGATCACGAGATTTCCGAGTTGAAGAAGGATAAGCAAGGAAGCGCTGGCGTAGGAGTGAGGGAGAATGTGTAGGATAAACAATTTGAGTGTAGTTTTGGAAATAATGCACGAAGATGGCTCACCAAAAGATTGCTTGATGTATTCAAGAAAGCATGACTGGATAGTGCGCGTATTGCGACAGAGCTAGGTTTGGGCTGACATTGATCAACTTTGGTGGAAATATGATGGGAAATGGATCCATGCATACATATCTAAAGTTTTTATGGTAGATATTTGATAGAATGGATGCATGGACAACGGAAAGGTCGATCAAATGAAAAGTGTGGTTGTGAGATTTGACGCGCGAAGCAACAGTGCGCGAATTGCAAGGGAGGTACTTCTCGGCGCATATTGCTCAGTTATTGCTCAGTTGTACCATCCTAGTAATGTATATTGGATCCAAGAAAGACAATCCGGAAGATTGCAGCAGAATATTCGATGAATTTGATGCATAGACGACGGGAAACCGGATTGAGGGAACAGAGTGACTGGATAGTACGCGTATTGTGACAGAGCTAGGTTCGGGCTGACATTTCTCCACTTTGCTGGAGAAATGCTAGGAAGTGGATCCATGCATATATATCTAAAGTATCTACGGTAGAGATCTGATAGAATGGATGCATGGCAGACGGAAAGGTCAATCAAACGAATGGGAATCATCTGGCGCGCGTAGCAACAATGCGCTTGTTACAGAGCTAGGTTCGGGCTGACATTCTTAAACTTGGGTGGAGAAATGCTGGGAAGTGGATCCATGCATGCATATCTAAAGTATTCCGGAAAGGGATTTGATAGAATGGATGCATGGCAGACGGAAAGGTCGATCAAACGAATGGGAATTATCTGGCGCGCGTAGCAACAATGCGCGTATTGTTACAGAGCTAGGTTCGGGCTGACATTTCTCCACTTTGCTGGAGAAATGCTAG